GGGGGGGCAGGAAGTTGGGGCGCCCTGGCGGGCGGGCGGGCGGGTCGGGGGCGCCGGCGCGGAGGGGGCCCGGGAGCCCGGGGTCTGCGCGGCGGGCGGGCGGGCGCGCCGCTCCCTGCACTTTGCGGGGGAAATTCGGCGGCGGGCTCCGCGCCGCCCGGTCCGGTGGGGGACACGTGGAGCGGCTCGGGGCCGTTCCCGGGCAGAGGCCGGGGCGCCGGCGGGGCTGATGGGCGCCGTGGCCTCGCGGGGAGCGACCCGCAGAGCCTTTCCGGCGCCGCCTGGGGGGGCTGGGGGGGGCTCCGCGCGGGCGGCTCGCTGGCCGCCCTCCTCCGGGACCGCGTCCGCCGCACGGGGGGGCCGCCGCCGCCGCACCTGGTGCCCGCCGCGCTCAACGCCCCTCGGCTTCTCTGTTTTCCAGATCCACCTCCAAACCTCAAACCGGAGTCGCAGGTAAAGTGAAAGTGGGGGGGCTGGTTGCTCGCGCCTCCAAGCGCCCCTCAAATGAGGCAGCCCCGTCGTGGGGGGGCGGGGGGCAGCTCGGTCGGGAGGGCGCTGCCCTTGCAATATCCCAGCATGTGCTCGGCTCCGGTCAGCTAAGAACCAGCCGGCCTCCCCACACCGCTTTGGGTCCCAAGCCCCCCGGCTTGCATTCCTCGCCCCCCAGTCTCGTTGGGGGCTGCCGGAGCAGGGAGGCGGCGTGGCTCGCTCATGTGCCCATGGCGGCTGCGGGGGGCCCCCCGCCCCATCGAGCCCCCGCTGCCGTCGGGGGCGCGCGTGGCTTCCTCAACCCTTGCTCTGGAAGAAGATTTGCTGGGGGGGGGGGGCGGCTCTGTGTGTTCACCTGTGCCTCTCCCCGTCCCCCCCAGCCCCCCGAGAAACGGCGGAGGACCATCGAGGACTTCAACAAGTTCTGCAGTTTCGTGCTGGCCTACGCGGGCTACATCCCTTCCACGAAGGAGGTCAGTCCGGACTCCCGGGACCAACGGGCTCTGTGACCGGCCGGGCGCATGCATCCCCCCCCCCCCGCTGCGAGCAGGAGCTTTCTTTCATCTGCTATCTGGGAGCGTTGGGCAGGGGGTGGGTGCGAGCTACCCTGGTAGCCTTCCAGCTGCAGGATCCGGCGCTGAAGAGCAGCCGCTTCGCCCCTCCGCCGCCTCCAAGGCCCATGCGCCCCCAGCCCGCGGCTGGCAGGGAGGGCTTCCCTCCGCGTCGCGTCGCTCTTGGCCTTCGACTCCCGGGCGGCGTTGTCTCCTGCAGTCTGCTTGTCACAACAGCCGGAACCCGTGAAAGTGGCGACAAATGCCTGTGGGAACTACACATCCCAGAATGCTCTGAGCCATGGCCATTTTGCTGAGATCCCAGGGGTGTTGCTTGTTGGGGAATGCAGGCAGCCGCTCCGGCTCCGGAAGCGAGGGGGCGGACATCTCCTGGCGGCTTCTGCGGCCGAGCCCCCGGCGGGATCCGGCGGCCCTGCTCTGCGTTCCAGTCCCGGCTTTCTCCAGGCTTGAAGGCCAGGTTTGGAAGGTGGTAGAATTAGGTTCGTAATCGCTTCGGAGAAATGATCGGAGTTTGGAAAGCAGCCCGTGCCCACGGCTTCTGGGGCAGCTGCTGGGGGTGAGATTCAGCACCGGGGGAGAGCCTGCCTGAGTTTTTCTGTAGGGATCGGGAGTTTCGCTCGTGCGTTCGTAGCAAGGGATGGAAGCCAACGGCAAAGACAGCCTTGGACTAGCAGGACAATTTCCAAGTTATACTTCGAGTGTTTTGGGTACTGAACTTTAGCACTGATGTGAGAGAACACCAGTGTGTGCGCTGCACACCTGCCTTGTGTGAAACTGATAGACCTTGAGCGCCACTGAAAAAGTTGAGTCAGCTTGTCATGCACAATTCTTTGGGGTGGTAAAATGTATTCATGTATCAATAGTTTTCAATATCTTTGTTCCCTCCCCACAAATTTAAAAAAGTAATTTTTCCCAATAAAAATGTCTACAAAATATATAACATTTAAACCTTGTTAAGGGCAAGATGATGGGAGAAAAGGCCTGCAGTCCCCAGTATTCAGCCAACACTCTTGTCCATCTAAATGCGCATGCACACCTGTGCTTTCGAGGCTAGGATAAGCTGGGAATAATACGCCCTTTTCTGCCTAACTAGCATTGGATCGCTCACTAGTTGTGTTTGAATTCTCTCCCTTGAATATTTCAGGTCAAATACTAGTGATATGTTGAGTTAATAATGCAGCAGGTACATTATTAAATACAGTCCAAAGAAGGATGCTTGTGATGCTCAAGGGTCTTATGTAAATTAACTTACATAGGAAAGTTTTCCAGAAATTTTTCCAATTCAGCATCTTCCGGGAAACCCGTCCCACTGATGGCCAGCGGTCCCGCTTAAGGGTCTGTGCTTGTCAGTCCCAAGGAGGATCGCTTGGTTCTGTCAGCCACCAGCTTCCTTATGGATCGGCTGCGGATATTTTAGCCCACCTTTGCTGGTCTAGGTCCCACAAAGTTGTGTCCAGGAGGTTTGTTGGTTCTGCCACCAGCAATTCCCCTTTTTCTTCCATCCGTCATGCAAGGAATATCCCTTAAACCCAACCCTGTTAATTTTGCTGCCACGTTTGTTCCCACCTGGGCATATCTTATGCACCAGGGACTAGCCTCTTGTGAGGTCTGACATGCATAGACTAACGAGGAGGTAAGCTGCTTCTTTAAAAAAATAAAGTGGAACCAGCTGCCCGGAGAGGTGGGGGGCTCTCCCACACCAGAGACATTCAGGAAGAAGCTGGGCAGCCCGCTGAGTGGGGTGGTATGACTGGGTGTCCTGCGGCAGCAGAGGGTGGACTCGATGGCCCTTCCAAATTTAGAGCTCTGTGACTCAGGTAGCAAAAGGAAAAGTACACAGAACAAAGACGGTTACGTCTTTTCAGTCTTCACAGTGTAGTAGCCAAATGTCCCAGCCGTCCCTTCATCCCTTCTTGTCTGCCTCTTCCTCTCGATGACCGATTCGGGGTGATCCCAAGCGGTCCGTGCAGTGTGAAGAGGCGGGAAGCTTGGCGTGAGCCCTGCGATCCAGTGATCCTCTGGGGGGGCCCCGCACTTGTGGGGCTGGGCCTCCTCTCCACCCCGCACAGCTCCTTCAGCTCAGTCGGTTCCGGGAGCCGCGCCACATTCCGGGCCCCAAACCGACACTCGCCGTGGGCCTCCTTTCGTGGCAGAGCCCTGCCCGGCTGCTGCGACCTCCGGGGTGCCGTGCAAGGCAGGCCTTCCCTGTGGCACCCGTTTTGTGGGATGCGCGCTCCCTGGGTGGGGGAGGCACCAGCTACGGCCAGTTTCAGGTGCTGGTTTGTCCTCCTCAGCCTCCCCAGCCGTGTGGCCCAGTTTGATGAGCGCTAGTTCTGGGTTTGAAGACGGCAGTCAAGAACGGTTCTTTGCTTTTGTCTTTAAATGTTACTTAAGGCGGACGTTTTAACCTGTTGGTAAACGGTTTGGCAGTGGACGTTCCTCCTTTAAATATTTGCACTGTAAACAGCTCCAGGGCAGCTTTCCGCCCAGCTCCTTCCGGAGCCCTAGTCCAGGCGACGACGTGCCCGCCTTCTCTCCCCCCGCAGGAAAATGACTGGACGCCCTCCGGCTCCAGCTCCCCGCTCCGCCCGGAAAGCGTGGTGGACAGCGACGGCTGGGAGTCGACCCATTCGGACCTGCACACCATCGAGACCTTCGTGAAGAAGGCCAAGTCCTCCAAGAAGAAGGCGGCCTTCCGCCGCCTCAAGTCCGACAGCTCGCTGCTGGAGAAGATGAAGCTCAAGGACTCCCTCTTTGACTTGGAGCCCGTCAGCAAGCCGCAGCCGCCGCTGGCCGGGCCCAGGGGGGGCCTGGACAAGAAGAAGGACAGGCGGAACCGGAAGGTGGCCCTGGAGGCCGGGGGCGCCAAGCGCAACCGGGGCGAGCCGCTGGGGGAGAAGCGCTCGCGCATCAAAAAGAGCAAGAAGCGGAAGTTGAAAAAGGCGGAGCGCGGCGAGAAGAAGCACAAGGCCTCCCTGAGCGAGACGGACTCTGAGGAGGAGGCGGGGGCCGCGGGCGCAGCCACGGCGCTGGCCTCGGTGCAGGCCCCCCCAGAGCTCCTGGCGGCCGGCTTCCCCCTCAAGCTGGAGGAGCGGGAGGGGAAGGGGGGCGTCAGCACGGAGACCAGCCAGGACGGCGAGGGCAGCTCCAGCGAGGGCGAGATGAGGGTGATGGACGAGGACATCATGGTGGAGTCCGGTGAGGGGCCGGGGCGCCGGGACGGCCCCGTGGGCTTGGCGGTGGCGGCACCGGGCACGGCCCCCCCAGCCTGGCACCGCCGGAAGCGCCGGCCGCGGCGGCCCCACACCTCCAGGGCTGCCAGGCTGAGGGGGCCGGGCGGGGGCGTGGGGTGGGATGGGCTTGCTTCCCCCAGCACTGAGGGCCGGGCGGGGGGTTGCTCGGCCGCCTTCAGCTCCCCTTCCTTGGCCCCAATGGGGGGAGGCAGCGGACGACAGCCGGAAACCCCTCGCTGAGGCTCGGCGTGGCCCGGCCGGGGCGGCGGCTGCCCGACTGCGTCCTGTGTGCGCGCTTCCCCCGCCTGCGGTGTGTTAAATGTACAACGCCGTAATTACACCCGGGATATATTTGCGGTGGACGCAGTGACCAAACGACCGGGCTCCTGTCCTCGAGTGGCCCTTTGTCTCCCCCTCTGGGTTAACGACAGCAGGCGTCCCGCTGGGTCAGATCCGGGTCTGTCCAGACCGGACTCCCTCGCGGGATCGCAACAGGCATCGTTTGCGTGGCCGACTCCCGCCTGCCTGCCCCGTGTCTGAGAGGGAGAGCTCACGGGCGGATCCGGCCCGCCACGAACAGGCCGCCCCCGGGAGCCAAGCGCAGTCGCGCCTCCTACACGTGCGGGACAGACCCCGGTGCGCTCACGTGCGCCGGCCTGGTCTCGGTCGCGGAGCTCCTGGAACTTTGCCCGCTCCCTGGGGGATTCGCGCTTGAGTCCAGTGGCCGTCCTCGCTCCTTCCGGCACCGCGGGGGCTGAGCAGGCAGCGGGTGCCGAGCAAGCCGACGTGAAGCGCGTGGCGTGGCTGCTCCCGCTCAGCGTGGCTCCGCTTGCTCTTGCGCAGCTTCTCGGCGCAAGGCACGAGTCTTGCCCCCAGCGGCTGGAAACGGGGCACGGCCCCAGCCAAGCCCATCTCGCAGGCCCTGCGCGCATCCACGAGTTTCCCCGGCCCACACTAGCTCGTGCTGGGGGCGTGGGGGTGGTGCGCGTTGGAAGGGCTACCCGCAGCGGGGCGGCTGTGAGGCGTGGGGCTCGCCCGGTGCGTGACGCAGCTCTGCCTCTCCTCTGCAGGGGACGACTCGTGGGACCTCATCACGTGCTACTGCCGGAAGCCGTTTGCGGGCCGGCCCATGATCGAGTGCAGCCAGTGCGGCACCTGGATTCACCTCTCCTGCGCCAAGATCAAGAAGACCCACGTCCCGGACATCTTCTACTGCCAGAAGTGCAAGGAGGGCTCCCGGAAGCCGCCCCCGGCCCCCACCGTTCCCAGCGCGACGGCGGCCGTGGCGCCCAGGGGAGGCGGCGATCCCTAGCGCGGGGCGTGGGAGGGTGGCTCTGAGCCGGGCTGCCCCCCCGCGGGGGCAACGGACTGGACGGAGTGGGAGGGCTGCTCTGGAGGGCCTTGCTTCTTGGGAGGCCGGGAGAGAGGTCTTGGGTATTTGGGGTGGCGAGAGTCCCGGCACCAGGGGCCGGGGGCCGCACCCCAGGAATCGGCTGGCTCCGGCTGGCGGTTCCAAGCCCCTCGCCTCACACCCATTTCCCCTTCTGGGGCCGATCGAAGGCCACCTCTGTGTTCTGTCAAGGCCAACCTTGATGTGTGGGATGTGAAGCAAACCATCGGGACGGCTCCTGTGCATACTGGGATGCGCCCCGTGTCGTGGGGAGCGCTGGGAGAGTGACACGGAGGAGGGCCGGCAAAGTGGGGTGTGCTGCTCCCCCCCTTTCCCCCCATCCTCCCTCCCTCCCTCCCTCCCTCCCGTTCCCGGGAAGTTCAGCTGTAAATAGATAGAAAGCAAACTCTTTTTTTCTGGGTTGTTTGTTTCCCAGTTGGAAAGGTTTTTTTTAAGTTTATATCCTTGTTCCTGACACCTCCAAACATTTATTTTCTTTGTCCTGGACAAGGGGTGAGGAGTAGAGGGTGCCCACGGGGAGAAACTGGGCAACGACCCAGAAAGATTCCTTGGACCCGCATTGCTTTTCTGTGGTTGGGGGGCGGTAGGGGTTCAAGTTGTTCCCATTAAAATTGCACACACACACATTCTCTAGGATAAGGGAGAGAACAGTTGGAAGGAGGGGAAACAGAATTTGCTGATCCCCAGTGTTAACCCGCCCCCCCCCCCGCCATGAATTCTTCGAGGCGGTGGAGCCGGTCGGGAAGACCCTTGCGATTTTGCTGGTATCAAAAGAAAAAGGGGCAACTTGTTTGTGAGCCAACTTCCCGCCCGCTCCCGCCGACAACGGTTCCAGCGGAGCCAAGGTGCTGGAGGAGCGCCGGGTCGCGGGGGGCCAGGAAGCCCCCGACCGGGACCCCCAGGTCGCTCCGCCCGAGTTGCCCCCTGCCCGTCGGGGGCTGCTGGCCGGGGTTTCCCGCGGGCTCGGTTTCGTTTTTCCGGCTGGGAAGGGGAGGGTCCCCTGCCCAGTGCGTCCATTTTTGTTCGAATATTTGCAACCGTGTACATGGCAGAGTTTTCGATGTAAATAAAAGATGTGGACCCTTGTGGCGTTTGTACAGGAGGTTGTGCACTTGCTTGGTGTTGGCGGGGCGGGGCCCCTGCGGGGGTGGCGGGGCAGTGCTGCCCGGGAGCCGCCCCCAGTGGGCCCCCGCGCCCCTCCGGGAAGGCCCCCCCCCCGCTGCAGGGCCCGGCCGAGCCTAGCCCGGCTCCGGCGCCTCTTCCCTTCCCGCCTGCCCCGCGTCCCCCCACCGCCACATGGGGCCGGGCCGCGCATCGAGAGGGGAGCGCGGGAACGGGCCTCTGAGCACATGCAGAGCACGGCGGCGCGTGCGCAGAGCCGATCGAGCGCGTGGGCGGGCCTCCTGCTCACGTGACCGGCGGCCTGTTGCGGCAGGAGGACAAAGAAGGGGCGAGCAGCTTTCTGCGGCGTCACGGGCTGGGGCACGTGACTGGGTCGGGCGGCGAGGGAGGCTTCGCGGACCCGCTCACGTGACAGCCTGAGCGGGGGAGCGTCACGTGATGCGATGGCGGCGGCGGAGCTGCTTTACGCCGTCCCGGAGGATCGGACTGCAGCCCCCATAATTCCCCAGCCGGCGCGGCCGCTGCCTCTGCTGGCCGAGGGATCCTGGGAGCCGCAGTCCAGCCCGCCCGCGGCGGCGTGCTCGCGTCAGCGCAGGCCGGCCAATAGGGAGGAGCGTGCGCGCTGACGTAGCGCGCGTAGGGACGGCGCCGCGGACGTCGCCGCCGCGCCAGACGAGCGCTCACGCCGCGCTGCCCGCCGCCCCGCCCCTCCCTGCCTGCCGGCCTGCCTGCCTGCCGTTCCCGTCCGCTCGCGGCGCGGCGGCTGCTGGTGGGCGGGGCCGCCGCCGTTGCCATGGCGATGGCGGGGCCCGGGCCCGGCGGCGCGGCGGCGCCGGCGGGCGAGACGAAGGTGATCTACCACCTGGACGAGGAGGAGACGCCCTACCTGGTCAAGATCCCGGTGCCCGCCGAGCGCATCACGCTGGGCCACGTCAAGGCGGCCCTGGCGCGGCCCGGCGCCAAGTACTTCTTCAAGAGCATGGACCAGGACTTCGGGTAGGGGGGCGGGGCCCGGGGCGACCCCCCCCGGCCGGGGCGGTGTCCCGGAGGAGAAGCGCCCCCCGTGGAGGGGCGCCGGGAGGGGCGCCCTCCCGCCCCACGGCGCCTGCACTGGGCGGGGGCGGGGTGCCGGAAAGGGGCAGGATCCGCGCCCGGCCGGGCGCGCGGAGAGCGTCCCCGGGGGACAGCGTGCCCGTGTCTCCGAGGGACGTCACAGCGGCTGTGAGGGAGAGGGGACACCCTTTCCCATGTGCCTGGGCAAGACCTCAGGGAAGTGCCCCCGCTCGCTCGGGACACAGCGCAAGGCTGGAGAAGTCGAGGGGCCCAGGCACCTGGCCGAGAGTAGACACCCCCCCCCCAGCAAAGGTCTTGGGGAGGGGAGGGACCAGGCGTCCTGGGGAGAAAGTACTCGTGCCCCCCCAGAAGACACAAGGAGCCCCTGGCCTGGAGAGGCAGCCCTTCCGCCCTGGGAGGAGGAAGGGCCGAGGGGCCTGGGAATGGCGGCCGCCGCTCTGCCTGCTCCTAACCTTACGAAGAAAGGTGTGGCGGCGTCTCGAGGGGCATCAGCCCCCGGGCGATGTTATTCTGCAGCCAGCCCCACCTTTCAGAGGCCGAGCATCCAGGAGGAAAGGGGGACCCGGTGCCCACAAGAGGCGCTGCCCCTTTCACCACTGGGCTATGTACAGACATCTGGACAGACCCCTCCCAGCTTATGCTTCCCCCCTCTGGGGCCCCAGGTACCCAGAGCACGCCTGCACCGCTTTTTGGCTTGCCCGGAAGGGCTTCCCTCCCCGCTCGTTCCCTTGCCCCACAGAGGCGGATGGGCCTGGCTTGACCCCGTGCTTGCAGCGCTGCTTCGCTGACGGCGTCTCTCTCCTCTCTGCTGAAGGGTCGTGAAGGAGGAAATCTCGGACGACAACGCCACGCTGCCCTGCTTCAATGGCAGGGTTGTTTCCTGGGTACGCAGTCGGCGCATCGGTCCACATCCGGCGCTTGCAGAAATCCCGGAGCCCTGGCCTTCCCCAGACCCCATCACTGACCCTACGAGCATGTGACACCGGATGCTGTCTCAGCCCTGGACAGGGATTCAAGTCCTGACCTGGTCGGAGGGTGGCTTTGACGGGGGGATTGGACCGGTTCCCGGAGGAGGAGGCTGGCTGCTAGGCCGGGTGGCTCTGCCTCCGTTGCCAGAGGCCCTCTGCAGCCCTTGCTGGGGAACATGGGTGGGGAGATGCGGTGGCGCTGCCGCCCTGCTTCTGGGTTCCCCGTGGCCGCTGGTCGGTCACTCTGCGTCCGATCTGGCATGGCTTTTCGTCCCCCTGCTGCATGGAGGCCTCTGGGTGGCTGCTGTGGGAGACGGCTCTGGGTGAGAAAAGGGTGCTTGGATCCCGCAGAGTCGTCCTCCTGTCCCAGAGCCCCTGGCTTCCGGTTCTGGGGCGTTTGTGGAGCCGCCAAGTATTGGCGTGGCGGCCTGGGCGCCTCCGCCTGCTGCGAGGGCGCCCCCGGGGAAGGGGGGCGGCGCTGTCCGTCATGCCTCTTCATTCCCTTTGTGTTATGCAGCTTGTGTCTTCGGAGTCGCCCCAGCCAGAGCCGCCTCCGCCACTGCCCCCCCCAGAGGTACGACCGGAACCTTCCCCCCCGCCTCCCCCGCTTCCTCCGTTGCCTGTGGAGCGGACCAGCGGCATCGGGGATTCCCGGCCCCCCTCCTTCCAGTGAGTACGGGGGGGTTGGGCGCAGGATCTGGGGCGGGGGCCGGGTTCGGCTGCAGGAGGCGATGTGGCCCTGCGGGGCTCCTGGAGCCACAGGGGGCGCCCGGGGGAGGCACCCGTGGGGTTGCAGTGTCCCCAGGAGAGCTTTCGGGGGCCCCGATCGTGTGGCGGCTGGTGGTGGAGGAGGGGGTGCTGTGATTGGTTTAGCAGGAGGACGGTTCCCTTTCTTCTTTGCAGCCCAAACGTTTCTGGCAGCCATGAGAACCTGGACCACGAGACGGAGACGGAGTCTGTCGTGTCCTTGCGGCGGGAGCGGCCACGGCGCAGGGAGAGCCTGGAGCACGGGGGTCGGTGGCTGCCGGGGCTTCCCTCCTGGGTCCTTTCTCCGTCGGCTGGGCGGGGGTGACGGCGGGGCGACGGCCCCGAGCGCGTCGGCCCAACGGCTGTCCCCTTTTCGCCCCAGGTGGGCACCGGCTGAATGGGCAGTCGCGGCTGGAGCGGCACCTGGCTGGCTACGAGAGCTGCTCCACCCTGCTCACCAGCGAGCTGGAGACCACCAGCCTCTGCGACTCGGAGGACGACGACACCATGAGCAGGTGGGCCGCGCGCAGCTGTGCGTGGAAACCTCTCCCCACTGAGATCTCGGGCACACAGAGGGCGTCGTAAGGTTGGGCGTTGTGTCCCAGAGGTGTGGGGGGGGGGCAGTGGCGGTCTTTGGGCTCCTCACATCCCGGACCCTCTTTGCGAGGACTAAGGGGCCAGCAACGCCCCGGGCCTGCGGCTCTGGACGCTCACGCAGGACAAGGAGGGGGATCGTCCTGATGGGGCACCGGCAGGAGGGATAGCGGGCCTCGCGGGGAAAACTTGCTTAAGGACAACGTGGAAGAGGGTGCAGAACGGAGGGCAAAATTTCCTGCCGGTAGGAAGTTAGTATTTCCCCCTTTCGGTGATGGCCTCTCCCTGCTAAAACTCTTTCGTTCGAGTGTCTCTTTGGCTCTACCTTTTTTACTTTTGAGTGGGCCTTAAAAGTATCTTTTTTCTAAAACGATTTTTACTAAGAAGCGTGCCTGGATTTTCGCTTCTTATTTATTCTGCTCTTAGTATATTTGGCTTTATAGTTGTCAGGACTGCTGTTTTGAAGTTTTCACTGATGTGTCGGATTTCAGATACTGGCGTCATTTTAATATCTGCGCTAATTTAGATGTTATGCTGCTTTGGGGGAACGTTGTCTTGAAATGCGGCATGGATACCGCGGGACCTAAAAAAAGCCCTACCCCCCATGGCTGAATGTGGCAGCACAAGCAACAGACACTCCTCCTATATTTTTCCTTTCAGTCGTTAGAGTTTTAGTTTGTGTGTTTATTATTCCTGTGTGCACGTTGAAAGCTCATACAAACAGAGAACAGGCACAACTCACTTAAACAGAAAAATGATTTATAAGTTGCAGTATTTCCCATCTGGCTGTGAAATGCAAAGAGCTGTAAGATGCCATTCCTTGAAGCGAGCTCTGCGAACGTGGCCCTTGTGCCCTCTGGGTCCCTTTCCTGGCCTTGGCCGCCTTTCCTCTGCCGTTTCCTGGCTCTCCTCCCAACAGGGCTTGGGGATCGCTGCCTCGGTGGTGCTGAGGGGGGCAGGCCAGCCCTGGGGAGACCCACAGTCAGGGATGGCGCCGCTTCTCGTCGAACTCTCCTATCGAGGCGCTTGGGTTCTCTGGAGCAGGGCCACTGGGGTTCCTGGGGAGGAAAGGCACCCTCCCGATGGGAGCCGCTCGTCCAGAGGAGGACAGGTGGGAGTGGCCAAAGGACGGCATGACGGAGGGCACGGCCGGCCGGCTTGGAGCTGAGCTCAGGGTGGCCAGGCGGCCTGCCGAGCTCTGGGGGCTCCCGGGTGCCCCGCCTGGCTGTCCTCCTTTGCCCTGAATGAACTTGTGGCGAGGGAATTCTCCCCCATGCGAGGTGAGGCGAGGCTCTTTGGAGGGGAGCCGCTGGGCCAGAATCCCACCCTGCCCGCCCCTTCCATGCCCCTGGCAGGCACCCGGGGGGTGGGGGCTCTCGCTGGCCGGCGTCCCGGGGCTCCAGCGTCCACTCTCTTCCCTGGGCAGGATCAGCAGCTCCACGGAGCAGAGCAGCGCCTCCCGCCTCCTGAAGCGCCACCGCCGGCGGCGGAAGCAGCGCCCCCCGCGCCTGGAGCGGGTCAGTGTCCAGGCACCAGCCTCAGGCCGCCTGGGGGGCAGAGGGGCTGCGGTGGGGGGCCGCGGCAGGGAGCCCAGGTGGAGGGGCCGGGCAGACGGTGCGCCCCGTGTCCCCCGTCCTGAGTGCCGCGATTCCCGTTGCAGACCTCGTCCTTCAGCAGCGTCACGGACTCGACCATGTCGCTCAACATCATCACCGTGACCTTGAACATGGGTGAGGGGCGATGCGCTCGGGGGGTGGAGGAGCGGTAAGAGGGGGAGGCGCGAGAAGGGTGGGGGTCCCGTGCAGGGGACCCGCCTGGCGTGGGGGAACGGGGTGCTTGCCGGGGGTGGGGGCGAAGGCCGGACCCCAAGCACGACGGGGAGCAGCGGGTGCAGGCCGGCTGGCGGCGGGCGAGCAGGGCCGTCGGTGTCCGCAGGCAGCTGCCTCGGGGAGAAGCCGGGTCTGCCGTCTCGGGAGCGCGTTGGCAGAGCTGGGGATGCGGAGGCCGCCTGCAGCGGAGGCGGGAGTGGCCGCGGGGGGCCCCCACGCCTCGCCCCGAGGCTGCCGTCCCCGCCAGGAATCCTGGCCTGAGTGCTTTTCTTCTTCCTCCCCGCCTGGCTAGAGAAGTACAATTTCCTGGGCATCTCCATCGTGGGGCAAAGCAACGAGCGGGGGGACGGCGGCATCTACATCGGCTCCATCATGAAAGGGGGAGCCGTGGCGGCGGACGGCCGGATCGAGCCCGGGGACATGCTCCTGCAGGTGGGTCCCCGTGCCCCCCCGGCATCCCGGGGGCCGCAGGCCCTTTCCGGCCCTGCTGGCTCCCGCAGCCTGGGGGCGTGGGCCCCAGCGGCCCAGCCCGGCCCGCGGGAGGGGGCAGCGGGGCAGGGCCAGCCAGCAGTCCTCCCCAGGCCTGACAGGTGCCTCTTCCCTGGCCCAGGTGAACGACATCAACTTCGAGAACATGAGCAATGACGACGCCGTGCGGGTCCTGAGGGAGATCGTCCACAAGCCGGGGTGGGTGCCGCCCCCCCCCCAGCCTCACCGGGGGGCCGCCGGCGCCTGCCTTCTTCGTCGCACTTACCTCCCGTCTCCTTTGCAGCCCGATCGTGCTGACCGTGGCCAAGTGCTGGGACCCGTCCCCGCAGGGGTACTTCACGCTGCCTCGAAGTAAGTGGCTGGCCGGGCCCCTGGCAGCCATGGGGGGGCCGGCGGCTCCGTCAGGCCGTTGCGAGCGCCGGCTGGGTCCAGCCCTGGCACGGGGGGATTGACGTGGCTCCCCGCTGGAGGCTGACAGAGGATTGCCAAGCGGGCCCGCTTGCCGGGGGGCTGGCTCCAGCCTGGGGTGTGCCGGGGGCTTCGGCGTGGGCACGCCGGGTTCTTCGGGAGCCTTCCGAGCCGGTCGCCGCTGTTTCTGCCCAGACGAGCCCATCCAGCCCATCGACCCTGCGGCCTGGGTGTCCCACTCGGCTGCCCTGACGGGGGCCTTCGCACCGTTCCCCGGGAGCAGCTCGATGAGCACCATCACCTCGGGGACCTCGGTCGCCGAGACAGAGCGTGAGTCCCCCGTCCCGCGGCGGGATGCGGCCGGCTTTCACGAGCGTGAGCCCGGCTGCCGGGCGGGTTGCTTCGCGTGGGCGCGTTTCCCTCTGCCGGCCTTTTCCGACCTGACGCTCCCCAGTGCATGGGACTCCGGGTGCTGTGCAGCTCTGCTGGCTGGGGATGAGGGGCTTTCCACTCCGACGCAGCTGGGGGCTGCTCTGGGGTGCCCTTTCAACCTGCAGCTTGTTCCGTCGAGCTTGCTCGTGCGAAGGAGAGTGTCCCAGGGTGTCATCCCGCCCTGCGCCTTCCCCGCCTGACCCTCCGCCGGCCCCTTCCTGAGGCAGGGACCAACGGCCCCGTGGCAGCCCGGTCCTCCTGAGAGGAAGCCGGCCTGCTCGGCGTGGGCCTCTGCCGGCGTCTCCGTCACGCGCTCCCGTCCTCGCCTCCGTCCCGCAGGCTTTGACGACTTCAACCTCTCCATCCACACGGACATGGCTTCCGTCACCAAGGCGATGGCCTCCCCCGAGTCTGGCCTGGAGGTCCGGGACCGCATGTGGCTGAAAATCACCATTCCCAATGCTTTCCTAGGTACCAAGCTGCAGAAGGGGCGGGGCGGGGCGGGGCGGGGGCCCTGGTGGGGCAGCGGGGGGGCCGCAGGGGGCTGGAGGGCCTCAGCCTGGGGACCCCGCCCCCGCGAGCCCTGACTGGCGCCCCCGCCGCCCCCCAGGCTCCGACGTGGTGGACTGGCTGTGCCATCATGTGGAGGGCTTCCAGGACCGCCGGGAGGCCCGCAAGTACGCCAGCAACCTGCTGAAGGCCGGCTTCATCCGCCACACGGTCAACAAGATCACCTTCTCGGAGCAGTGCTACTACATCTTCGGCGACTTCAGCGGCTGCGAGAACTGTAAGGGGCGGTGGCCGCGGCCCTGCGGGTCCTCGGGGCCGGGCGGCCTCGTTGGGGGCCGGGGGCAGGCGCTTGCGGCCGGGGGGCCACCAAGCCGGGGGCCTTGGAAGGGGACTGGAGGGCTGCGCGGCGGGGGGACCAGCCCCCGTCGCTGAGGAGCTGTGTGGCGGGAGGGCTCACCCCGCCCTGCCTCTGGGGTCCGGCGGGCAGCCGGCCTGCCTCTCCGCGTGCGGGCTGGGTGGGCCTTGCGGGTTACGTGCCCCGCTCGCTCCGGCTCGGCCCGAGCACCGTCCTGGGAGCAGAAGGGCCCCAGCTGCGAGGCCGCCCGGGTGCAGATCCAGGCCCCAGCTGTGTGGCGCTTCCCCGGCGCAAGGCGGGCTGCTTGGCGCGGAGCCGCCGCGGGACTGGCTGGAGCCCCGGCTCCTGCCCTGCCCTGCCCTGCCCTGCCCTGCCCTGCCTGCCCGCCTTCCGCCTAGGCACCCGCCCGGCTCTTCTCGGCCACTGATGCCGGGCCCTCCTCTTCCTCCAGACATGGCCAACCTCTCCCTCAACGACAACGATGGCTCGAGCGGGGCCTCCGACCAGGACACGCTGGCCCCGCTGCCGCTCCCCGGCGCCACCCCCTGGCCGCTGATGCCCACCTTCTCCTACCAGTACCCGGCGCCGCACCCCTACAGCACCCAGCCGCCCCCGTACCACGAGCTCTCCTCCTACAGCTACGGCGTGGGCAGCGCTGGCAGCCAGCACAGCGAAGGTAGGTGGGGGCGGGGGGCGGCACTCTGCGGGCGGTTGCCCCCCATGCCGGGGCACCCAGACCCGAGTGGCCTGAGCATGGAAGGAGCGGAGTGCCGGGGGCCCCTGTGCGTCCCCCCGCCGCTGGGGCAGTTCCCGGTGGGGGGTGGGCCGCAAGGGGCAGGACGGATGGGCCGGGCTTCCTGATCCCGGGGCGGCCGTGCTCACGGCGACCTCTGCGTCTCCCGCTCCCCTCGGGGATCCCCCCCGCACGGGGTCCCCGCATCCCACGCCCCGCTGCTGTGTCTTGCAGGCAGTCGGAGCAGTGGGTCCAACCGCAGCGACGGTGGCGGGGGCAGCGGGGGCGGCCGCGGGGCCGCCAAGCACAAGGAGGAGAAGGCCGGGGCGGATTCCAAGTCGGGCAGCGGAAGCGAGTCGGAGTACTCGGCGCGCGGCGGCGGCCCGCGAGGGGGGGCCGTGGCCGGGCCCGGCGGGGAGGGGGCTGTGCCGCGCGGGCAGCACAGCCTGGGGGGCGGCAGCGTGCGCTCCCACCACTCCCTGCACGCAGCCTACGCGGCCCCCGGCGGCGTGCCCTTGGCCTACAACCCCATGGTGGTGATGATGGTGCCGCCCCCGGCCCCGGCCTCCGCCGCCGCCGCCGTGCAGCCCCCCGGCGCCCCCCCAGTGCGCGACTTGGGCTCCGTGCCCCCCGAGCTCACCGCCAGCCGCCAGTCCTTCCACATGGCGATGGGCAACCCCAGCGAGTTCTTCGTCGACGTGATGTGACCGGAGGGCGGCCCCGGATCGCCGCGGCCTCCTCTCACGAGCCTTCGCAACGCCAGACCTCTCCTGACCTCTGCGACCAACGGCCACGTGGCGGGGGGGCCTGGGCCCCTCCGTCCCCCGCCTCCCGGGGCCCCGTGGGGCACCACTGCCCTCCTGGTCGTGCCGCGGCGCCCGGGCCCGGAGGCGCCGCCGGCCCCGTGATCCCGCCGGGGAAACACGGCCGCCGTCCGTAGGCACGGGGTCGGCTCCGCGACCACACGCCTTGCCTTCGGGCCCCCCGCACCGCCTCTTGCCTTCGGGCCGAGGGTGGCCGCTTGGCTCCGCTCGGCCCCCGCGCCTTCAGGGAGGCAACGCTGGGCGGTCCGGCTGCTGCCTGGCCCGCGCCTCCGGTCCCTCGGCGGGAGGAGCCCCGGCCGCCCGTCCTTGCACCCCTTCGCCGTCCGCGTTGGCCCCTCCGGGTCCGGGCCGCGCGGCCCCACTTGGCTTCCCAGCGGCGCCGCGCGGGCGGCCTGGGAGACTTGCGCGGCCCCCGGTGCGGCTGCCCATGTGGGCCGTGGACCCGGTGGAGCGGGTGGCCTTCCCGTCCAGGCCCTCTGCCCGGGGACTCCGGCCTCGCCCCCAGAACGGCCCCGCTGGGACTTGGCCGCCCCACGTCCCGTTTCCCTTGGGCCTCACATGCCGGTGTCGATGAAGTGGCGGTTTTGCTTTGCATTTTTTACTTTAAAAACATTAAGGGTCTTTTATTCGTTTTTTGGAGTTAAGCCAGTAACTTTCTTTTTATAGACTTTTTTTCTGTACTAAAGCCTCTCCTACCCACCCCAAGTCAGTTTTAACACTACATCCCACCCCACCCCCTAAGTGACGTATTTTTGGGGGGGGGGGGCTTGTATCTTTTCTTTCTACCGACAGCTCAGCTCTGCATTTTGAAGGGTTTGCGAAAAGGGTCCCTCGCGGTGCCTGGCGCAGGCCACGCCACGACGGCGCCATTCGCTCCCCTCCCAGTTTCGCCGCAGATGCTCTTTGTTGTTCTTGGGGGCCTGCTGCTTCCGATTAACCTGTCGACCGGTCTTCTCTGGGGGGTCACAGAGGTCACTGGAGGCAAAATTCCAGCATCCCTAACTCTGCCAGACAAGCTGTGCCCGGGCAGGCGGCATCCAGCCCCCCAGAGCCCCTTCGGCTGCAGGTCCTGCCCTCCCAGCTCGCCCTCGGCTCCCGCAGGTGCCGAGCGTGGGGCTGAGAGGGGTGGCGCGGAGCGCTGGCACTCGGGCCCCGCTGCCTGCCTCGGATGGGGCAGCTCGTCCCCGTGCGGCCTACTTCGGAGGCTCTTGGGGGGTGCCCAGGGCCACCGCACTGCTCGCCAGACGTGCCCAAGCCCCCACACAAATTGCCTACCCCAGGTCAGGCCAGTCGCACGGTTCCAGGATGCGGGATTCTCCGCAGCAGCACGTTGGCCAAGGGTCGCGGGAATCGTGCTCCAGCAAAACTGGGCCCTGCTGTGGCGAGCCGCCCTCTGAAAGTGCGCCGGGACGCCCTCTCCCCACGTGGCGCTGTCCAAACGGGAGGAACGGCCGTCACCACAGCAGGCACGCTTGACCACAAGCCACATGCTGGGGCGCAGATGCCGTCGGACGGGGGCTGCACTGCCCTGGCTGACCCGGGGGAGGGTCTTGTGGGGGGGCGGACGGGCAAATTCCATGCTTCTGTCCAACGTGGGCACATAAGCAAAAGCGTAGCTGCCGAAATCCCGCACTTGGAACACAGCGCACGGTGGTCTAGTGGGGGAGCTTCTGAAAGGACGTTGCGGGGTTGGAAAACGTCGGGAAGGGGCAGCGGAAAAGCCAGAGTGGCTCCCCTGCGAGGAGAGCTCGCAGCAGCTGTGATCCTCCAGCTCAGGGAAGAAGGGGCTGGGGGGCCGTGACGGAGCACGGGGGGGGGTGCCCGGTGTGGCAGGGGAGGCGCGGGGCCCCCCCTCCTAATGCCAGAGCCCAGCCCGGTCGTCCCCCGGAGCTGCCCGGGCAGAATTCAGGCCGGATCCAGACACTGGACTTGATTTCCGCGGGATGCCAAGATGGCCCCCAGCCGGGCGGGCGGCAGGGCGGATTGGGCTCGCGAGGGGGGCGTCTTGGTCCTCCCAGGCCCGTGCGCTGATGGGCGCCTCCCAGCGCCCTCGGCCACCCCGTTCCCGCACCAGATGCCTACTCGGGTTAACGCAGGGGGGATGCTGGAAATGCCTCCGTGACCTCTTGCCGCCTCCCGAGCGTTGGCCGCACGTGCCTTCCCCCGCTTCCCCCAGACCCCCTCCGGCCAGCACCCCCGCGTTGCCGCCCCCTCCAAAGCTGTGTGGCGTTCCTCATCCCGTCCGGGATCCCATCTGGGAGGAAGCGCAGTCCGGGGGGCCGGGGTGGGCAGGCCTGGCTGGCTGCTGCGTCTGCCCCATTCTGCCTCGCTGCCTCGACCAGGGTACGAACTCTGTAGTGGTGCTACCTTGCCCCAGCCAGTGTGACCCCGCAAGCGCGTCTCTAGGTACAGCAGGAGGTGTCCCCGGGGTTGGGCCCCAAGCCTTCGGCCCTCTCATCTCCAGGGGCCCAAGCACACATGTGCGTGAGAAGTAGCAGAAAACTATTTTGTAATAACATATTTATTTTTAGCTCTTTTGTGTACAAAAAGCATTCAGTAAAAAAACCAGCGAAAACGGAAGCGTGGTGGTGCCTGTTTTGTAAAGCTTCGGCGGTGGGCCTGCGAGTTGTCGGGCTGGGCCAGAGTTTGGGAGACTCTGGGCAGGAAAGCCGCTTCCATCAGGAGGAAGGCAGCACCCTGTGGTTACACAGCGGACCTAAATTTCCCGAACCTGCGAAGGCTACACATCTGGGGACCGGGACACCGAAAGAAAGCCGCCTCCACGTCTGCCTCACAAGCTTGGCTTCTGCCAGGTGAAGCAGCCACGGGAAGCGGGGCCTTTTCGGTGCTGGCCCTTCGGCTGTGGAACAGCCTCGTTTAACATGTTCCCTGATGCCCTCCTTGCAGCCTGCTGCCCGAGCCCTTTGAAAGCAAGCCATGTTGTCCCACGTGGCCTTGTTTTAAACCATCTTTTGACTGCACTCTGTGGCGTTAATCGGTTTTTAGCATACACACTGCGTTTTCACGGCCTTCTGCCTGGGCAGCCACCCGAGAACCCATCCTTGTGGGGAGGCTGTGCAAAGTGAAATGAATGCGGGGTGCTGCGAGTTGGGTTGTTGGCCGTTGTGTTATCTTCCAGACTGCACCCCCTCCCGGTTTAGGCACGGAGCTTACAGCAGAAAACCTACCGGCTCCCGGGGCCATGTCTTCGTGTTCTCATGCTGGGCTGTTGGCTATATATTCGCACATGCATCCCGAGGTTTTATTGGGAAAAGAGCCGCCGTCTTTGGAGGGTCCCAGACCCGGAGTGGGTTGTAGGGAAAGCCAAGAGAGAGACTGGAGTTGGGGAGAGCGCGCCTCTTGCCGCTTCCGGGGGAAAAGCTCCCCGAGGGAACTTGTCCCGCGAAGAGGGGCGCGCGTGGAGTCGCCCGGTGGCCCGGGCTGCCCACGGGGGACTCGCGTGGGCCGCGCACACTGCTCGAGTCGCAAGGGCACGCCTGCTCCCGTGCATGGCTCCACGCGGCGCCCGGATCGAGCCTGCCCGGGAGCACGCCCCCTTCCGTCCAGTGGTGACGGCCAAGGCGCTCTGCACGTGGTCGGTGTCCTCGTGCTCCATCACAGTCCAGTAAAAATAAAAAGTAACGGAGACGGGCAAACCCCAGCGGGACCCTCCCCCGATTCCTCAGGGCCCGGCCCTCCCTTCCCGGAAGCCCTTCGTGGGCTCAGCCCCACTCGTGCGGGGCGTGGGGGGGGCGCCACCTGCCCGGGGCAGGGGCCACTTCGCTGGGGCCTCATACAAACCCCGAGGAGTCGGAGGGGGGAGGGGGGGGGGGGGGGGGGGAACAGAGGGATTCTGCACATGCGCAGAAGCCCCGCGGAAACCCCCCAGCCCTGCGCCGCCGAAGGGCCCCGCCCTGCCGGGGAAGCCACGTCCCCACGCGCGGCGAACTACAGCTCCCGGCGTGCCTCGGGCGGCGGCGGCGCAGGAAACGGCCGCCCCCTCCTGGAGCCCGGCCGCGGGGCGGGGTGGGGGGAGGCGCGCCCCACAACCGGCCGCTGGGAGCGCAGCGCGCAGCGCAGGACGAGACCGGCCCGCCATGTACGCGCTCCGGACGCCCCCGCGGCTCTGCCAGGGCCTCCTGCGCGGCGGCCCCGCGCGGCGGTGAGTCGGCGCGGGCCCGGGGGGGGGGGGGGGGGGGGGGGGGGGGGAAACCGAGCCGAGCCTCACGCCCCGCGCTCTCCCTGCCCAGGTGCGGAGCGCCGCCGACGCGCCCCCGCGGAGCCCGGCCGTACGCCGCGCAGGCCGCCCAGGTACGTGGCCCGGCGGGAGCGGCGCGGTCCGGTTCCCCATCGGCGGCCCGGCTGCGGCGGGGCCCGAGTGCCCCGGCTTCCGCGGGCGCCCGGCCCCGCTGCTCCCCTGGAGGGCCGGGCACTTGGCCCCGGAGCGCGGCCGGGGGGCCCCGCGCCCTTGGCTGCGGCCCGCCCCGGTGCCCCCCACGCGGCCTTGCCCGGGCCGCCCCGCCGCCCCGCCGCGCCCTGTGCGGGCAGCTGGCGCTGTTCCAGCGCGCTTAGTGCCGGATCGGCGGCAATGTAGGGCAAAGGTGGCGCTGGAAACTTGGCCGGCGCAGCCCGAGGACGCGGCCCCGCTCCCCGCCCTGGCCGAAGCCGGCGGTGCCCGGCCCCCCGGCAGCTGGGGGGGAAGGTGCCCCCTGGGCCGGCTGCTCCGGCATCCCGTCCAGAGCGCAGGGCCGGGCGCCCGCGTGCCGGGGGGGGGGGGCGGTGCCGTGGCAGCTGTCATCCCCGAGTGCCCCTTTGGAGTGGGGGGGGTCTGGCCCCACTCCAGCGTGAAGCCGCGGTTACCCCCTAATGCCCTTGAGCCGACCAGTTGCTGTGGGGGGCGCATGGTCTCCCAACGCGCTGGCTGGGACAGAAGGTCCTTCCCTGTCCGGCTGCTGGCGGGGTGGGGGTGACATTCTGGGGTGCTTTCACAGGTCACCGCCGGCGCACCTGCAGCGGAGGTACATTCATTCTCCTGATTCCCTTCTCTGTTGCTTCTCGGCCTCTGGGAAGTTCACTTTTTCGCACATCTAAGCACTGAAAATGGGCCCTGAATGAGTCCCGTGTGGCCGTTCCCGTGAGGAGCCTTGAGAGCCGGGGGCAAAGTGGGAGGTTCACCTGGGTTTTGAGCCAACCGGTTGAACGGCCGCCTTGGCAGCATGGCATCGTCCTGTGGGTGTCCTTCGGCGCCTCCGCCCTTCGGCCCGGCTGCTCCGGGGCTCGGACGTTGTCCAGACTCATTCCGCCACCTCCTTGCCGCGTAGCCCTTGAGGCAGGGGGGGCCCACACGGCGCTCATGCGCAGGGCAGAAAATGCATGTAGAGGTTTAAGAAAGCAAGAGCAAAACGAAGTCGCTGAAGATGTTGCTGCCCGTTGGTGGCAGAACAGCATCCGGCCCCAGAGGGGCTGGGGGGTGACTTTCACCCCTCTGTCTGGTGACAGTCGGCTGACTTCCGAGCTCCGGTGATCTGCCCTTGTCTTGGCCGTAGTCCTCCTCCCCTGAACATGGCAGGTTAGCACATTAAACAGTAGAGTCCGTTGGTCATGCTGCATCTCAGCCAAAAGGCTGCCGGCGCACACAAACCGAAATACAAAACGAGCTCTGGTTTTGTTCCCGCATCGCAGGCTGTGCTGGAAAAGGCAGGCACCAAAGCGGAATCCGCTACGCAGGTGGCATCAGGAAAAAAGCCCATAACTGTGGTATGTGCTTTTTCCACTTTTTGGCTACTGGCGATCTGGGCGTCCCTCGCAGACGTCAGGGGAAATAGGCAGGGCCCCGGTTTCTCTCTGGGCTGCCCGCCAGCCCTGTCCTGGGGCAAGGGGGGTGCCCTCGTGCAGCTGCTAGGCATTTGCATGGGCGGAAAATGGGCCTCCCAGAAGCCCTGGCCAGCTTGGCCAGCGGTCGGAACTGCCGGGGGTCGGAGGCCAAGAGATCCAGGGGGCTCTTTTGTCATCTGTCGCATTAAGAGGGGACCAGGAACCCGAGAAATCGTGTGTCGCCTCGGAAGCTCACAGCCTCCCTCACCAGCTGGGCTGCTGTGGCGACACGGAGTACGCAGAAGCAGTCCAGCCGGCTGAGGGTTGGTGAGAGAGCTGGCGCCTGGAGTCTGCGTGGGAGGGCGAACGGGCGAGCACGGTGCCTGGGGCCTCAAGCGCTGGGAGGTGCACGGCACGGGCTGGCAGCCGCAGCTCTCCGTGGCCGGCCTCATCGGGCAGCCTCCTGCCTGCCACACGGGTCCGTCCGCTGACCCCCCCGCCGCCCCCTGTTGCCCCTCCCTTCTCTGCAGGAGTCGAAGTCCTTTGCGGTGGGGATGTTCAAGGGGCAGATGATCACGGAGCAAGTCTTCCCGTACCCTTCAGGTAACGGGCTGCCCCCAGTCTCGTGGTTTTCTGAGCAGGCGCCAGCCCCCGTGTAGCCCATGAGGACCAGAACCGTGAATCGGAGGCGGGCTGTGGGTCTACGTCCGGTCTTTGGCTTGTGCCGTACTCCTCCTGGTTCTGCTGGGGGTGGTCTGGAAAGGGGGGGGGTCTCCCATGCACGGTGTGAGCTGGAAGAAGCTGGCTGGGAATGCAGAACGGAGTGAGGAAGAGGAGGGTCGGGCTGCCGTGGGGCGCACATTGGGCCCGGAGATGGAGGGGGGCAGCGGGGGGCTTACCTGGCTGTGCCCTTCCGTGTTCCAGCCCTGACCGAAGACCAGGCGCAGACGCTGCAGGAGCTCGTGGGGCCGGTCTCCCGCTTCTTCCAGGTGAGGCGCGGGAGGGACGGCCCGCTTCAGAAGTGGGGCGTGGGGCGTGGGGCGTGCCCGGGTGGGGGGCGGCTGGCGGGAGCTGCCGTGGGGTGCGCGTGGGGAAGGGGAGCTCGCAGGCCGGTGTGACGTGCCGGATGTGGGTCGATCCGCAAGGGCCCCCTCACGCGGCCCCCTCCCCCCCCCCGCAGGAGGTGAACGACCCAGCCCAGAACGACAGCCTGGAGCAGGTGGAGGAGAGGACGATGCAGGGCTTGAAGGAGCTCGGTGCCTTCGGCCTGCAGGTCCCGACGCAGCTTGGGGGGCTCGGCCTCAGCAACACCCAGGTGGGGCCAGCTCGGGAGCCGGGCTCTCCGCTCCGCCCTCGCCCCTTTGCGGAGGCCCCCCCGGGCGGGAGTGGGTGGCTGGGGCTCCAGTAGAGACTGGGGGGGCGGGGCTGGGAGTCGGGGTCCCACCGCCGGCCGTGAGGGCTGGTGTGGACCTCGCAGGGCTGTTGTGGGGGGGATGCGCGGGAGAAGAGGACGGGTGAGCCGGCTGGGTTCCCTTGCGAGAGGGCGAGCGGGGTATAAATGCAAGGTCTCGCAGGCTTGGCGGCAGCAGCTGCAGGCCAGACGTGCCCAGAGGCAGCCCCCTCATCAGCCCAGCCTTGGGAGGAGTGATGGTTCGAGGGGGTCCACCCATCCCGGGTTGGGGTCTCGTGGCCCTTCTCCTCTCTGAAGAGGAAGGTGGAACCGCAAGCCACGGTGCCTGGAATCGGGCTGGAGTTTTTTAGCACTCTGCCCATGTTTAGGGCAGTCTTTCTCTCACCAGAATGTGGGGTGCTTCAGTACTGACCCCCGCTTGCTTCCCTTCCCTTCTCTCCTCTCCCCCCCCCCCACTGGCAGTATGCTCGGCTGGTGGAAATCGTGGGCATGTATGACCTGGGAGTGGGCATCACACTCGGTGCCCACCAGTCCATCGGGTTTAAGGGGATCCTTCTCTATGGCACGCCGGAGCAGAAGGAGAAATACCTCCCCAAACTGGCCACAGGTATGGGGGGGGGGGTCAGGCCGGGGGGGAGGGGAGGGCAGGGCGCTGGCAGCCGCAGTGCAAGACTCCGGGGGGCCTGTGCCCGGGTGGGGGGCGAGGGGTGTGGGACCTCCGTTGTCCAGGGGCCACGCTCCCCCCTGGGGGCTCATTCCAGGGGTGGGCGTGGCCAGCGGCCAAGGGGGCGGCCCCACCAAAGCGGTCCGGCCAGGCGTGTGCCCTCCGTTTTGGCTCGTGCCCTTTATCCCGGGCCTTTTCTTGGCGTTTGCTTGAGCCTAAGAGGGGCGTGTCGGTCTGTGTAGAATCCGGGCGGGCGGGCGGGCGGGGGGGAAGGGGGCGTGGGCTGGGGAGGGGGGCAAGAACATCTGGGGAGCCTGCCGGGCTGGATTCGGTCCCTGGGCCTGAACACGTGTAGCCCCTTTTGGGCAGAGCAAAAACTGGAATCTGGGAAGTGGCCGTGCTGCGCGTGGCTTCCCATGGTCGCTGGCAAGGTCTTTTTGCAGGGTCTTTTGCTCTGAGCCTCTTTCCACCCTCCTCCTCCAGGGGAGACCATCGCCGCATTCTGCCTGACAGAACCAGCCAGCGGCTCGGACGCGGCGTCCATCCGGACCACGGCGGAGCTCAGCCCCTGCGGCAAATACTACACACTGAACGGAGGCAAAATCTGGATCAGGTGGGGGCCGGGAGCAAAAGGAGGGCCGGGGCAGGGGCAGGTTCAGGTTCTCCCCCCACGTATGCAAAGGAAACCAGCTCTCCAGACCCCTGTGCTGTATCCCACCTTCAAAATGCTCCGTGGTGGCTCTTCTCCCGTAGTCGGGGGGCAGGGGGCAGGGGGCACTGTCCAAGCAAAGCCATGAGAGTGGAGTTCAGTCAGCCCAGGGAAAAACCAGAATAGGACCCACAGGAACTCTGAAAATGCTAAATGTGCTGGAAGGGAAGCGCCTGGGGAGCTGGAAAGGCCTCGGTGCGCACGGAAAGCCGGTGAGGTCGGCCGCAGGTGGGCTTCTCCGGGAAGGGCCTTCCACAGGGGGGTATCCCTGCTGGAAAACCTGCAAGAGCTGCCGTGGAGGATCCTAGCCGAGGCCCCCCCCCCCGACACCTCCCGGTGCCTCAGGGAGAGGCTCCCACGCGGGACGGGCGTGACGGAGCCCTTTCCTCGCAGCAACGGCGGCCTGGCCGAGATATTTACCGTCTTTGCGAGGACGCGTCTGAAGGACGAGGCGAGTGGCGAAATGAAGGACAAGATCACGGCCTTCATCGTGGAGCACTCCTTTGGGGGGGTCACGCGGTGAGTCCGGCCGGGCCCCTTGTGGCGCAGCCTTCACTGGCCCAGCGCCCGTGCCTGATCCCTGGAACGCCCTGGAGGGGGTTGCCCTCTTCCCTCCCCATCCTCTTTCCTTTCGTGCTGTGTCTGCTGGCAGGGACTGCCGCAAGTCGCTTCTGGAACACTTCCGGCTGCGAAACCTGTTTGGAACGAAGCGAGCCGGCGCTGCAGGCTGGTCCCGGGCCCCGCGGAGCATGGCGGGCCCCGAGACAAAGGCTTTCTGAGCCAAGGGAGGCTGCCATTCACAAGAGGGCCAGGAGCACCCTTGAGAAACAGTAGCCTTCCCCCGGTGCATTGTGGGATCTCTGATGCCTCCCTCCCCCCTCCAGCGGCCCCCCTGAGAAGAAGATGGGGATCAAGGCCTCCAACACGGCCGAGGTGCACTTTGACGGGGTCCGTGTCCCGGTGGAGAATGTCTTGGGGGCGCCTGGCGCCGGGTTCAAGGTCGCCATGAACATCCTGAACAACGGGCGGTTCGGCATGGCCGCGGCCATGTCCGGCACCATGCGCGGCATCATCGGGAAAGCGGTGAGTCCTCCCCTGGACGGTGCGGCCGTGTGGGAAAGACCCGTTTTGGCTCTGCCCCGCTCTCAATCCCACTCACCCGCTCGCTTCCCTCTTCGCCCCAAAGGTGGACCACGCCGCCAACCGGACCCAGTTCGGGGAGAAGATTCACAATTTCGGGGCGATTCAGGAGAAGCTGGCCCGGATGGCTCTGCTGCAGTATGTGACCGAGGTGAGGCGGGGAAAGGTGGCCGGGCCTCGCGCACAGCCCTCCCGGGACCGGGCACCGCGCAGAGCCGTCCTGCCTCGGTACCCCGGCGCTGCCACACGCTTCCCAGGCCGCTTCGCCATCATGAGGACCGGGGGCTTGGACTTTGCTGACCTGGCCACGTGGCCCCCTACCGCAACGGCTGCACCTGTCCGCAGCAGCGGGATTCAGTCTTGGCGTGCAGCCTCAGAGCCGGGGATGCGCCACGTCGCAGCAGCCCCGTGATGCGGGATCAGGGCTGCCCACGCCGGTCGGCCCCCGTGGCGCAGGAAGAGCTCATGGCCAGATTAAAGCACGATCTTATTTCTCTTGGTGCTTTTGCTTCCTGTGGCCCTCCGGGCAGTTGCGGGTCATGTTACAAAGCTGGGCTGGCTGGGGCTGCTGGGAGTTGCGCCGCGGCCCACCGGGAGGTCGCCGGAGAGGGGACGTGAGGCGCACCGACGCCCGGCCCTGTTTCTCCCCGCAGTCCATGGCGTACATGATCAGCGCGAACATGGATCAGGGCGCCTCCGACTTCCAGATCGAGGCGGCCATCAGCAAGATCTTCGGCTCGGTAAGGGGGGCGCGGGGGGGGGCAGGCGCTGCTTGGTCGCGGGATCGGGATGGTGGCGTCGGAGGCGGCTGGGGAGGCCAGTGGGCCCGACCCGCTGCTGGTGCAGGGCACCGGTCCGCACCGCCCCACCCAGCTGGCTGCCCGGGGGTCTTGCTCTCCCCCCGCGGCCCCTCGGCCGCCCCTCCTGCTCCTAAGGGGCACGTGCGGCTGCCCTGCGTGCGGGCGGGAGGAGTGAGTCGCTTGTGGGTCTCTCCCCCTTTGTGCTGCGCAGGAGGCTGCGTGGACCGTCACGGATGAGTGCATCCAGGTCATGGGCGGCATGGGCTTCATGAAGGTGAGTCGCCTGGTGCCCCCGCCTCTCCATCACCTGCCCGCCCCCGTCGGACGTTCACATAGGTGGGCTTGAATATCTAGCCCAGACGCGCCTGCCCCCCACCCCGATCTTGGGGTCAAACCGCTGCCACCCCCCGTGCCCCGGGTTTCCCCCCCCCCGATTTTGGGGTCAAACCGCTGCCAGCCCCCAGTGCCACTGGCTTTGACCCCGTCCTCCCTGCCGCTTCTCTCTGCTCCCCCACGACAGGAGGCCGGTGTGGAGCGTGTGCTGCGTGATTTGCGGGTGTTCCGGATCTTCGAGGGAACCAACGATATTTTGCGGCTGTTTGTCGCCCTGAATGGGTTTCAGGTGAGCTGCTGGTGGGGAGACCGGAAGAGTCAGGAAGCGGCTTCCCAAAACACGGACCCGTCTCCAGCCCACAGCCCGGGCCGCTTCCGGTGCCTGGCGAGGGCAGCCGGCATTCCACACTTCTGGGGATGAAGCGGCCGGACCGTCCCAGCGTGCCACACCGGCAGTGGCCCAGTAGCCTCCTCCTCCCTAGCTTTGTAGAGCCCCTCCCTCCCTCCCTCCCTCTGCAGACACGCGCACCCCCAACTGACCCCCCCCTCACTTCCCTCATCCAGAATGCCGGGAACCAACTCCGCGGACTGCAGAAGGCCCTCAAGAGCCCCATCGGGAACGCCGGGCTGCTGGTCGGGGAGCTCGGGAAGCGCATGCGCAGGTATGCCTCTGCCCCGGGGTGGCTGGAGAGCCGCCTCATTAAAGCGGTTGACGATCGCCAAGCCGATGCCCCTCGCCCAGGCACTGGGGGGTCGCCGGTTTCTTATTTCCTGGAATTTTAGGAAGTGGCCAAGAGGTGAAGGGGCTTCAGCTGAAGGATGAAGTAGGATGTCCCATGTGTAAGGGCTGGACTTGCCCTCCGCCTCTGCTCACGGCGCCAACGCTGCCCACGTTCCACAGCTTTTTTGATTGGTCCAAAGCGCAGTATTTTGCTTGTGGCAGAAACCCACCTGGTGCCTCTCGCAGACACCCAAGGATACTAGCTCATGTCACGGGTAGTTCTTGGAAGTTTGTCCTTGGAATATGGCTAGGGGAGAGATTTTTGTAGTCCAGAATTTACTTGAACTTAACCTAATTTTGCGCTTTCAAACGGTTAGGCAAGCCAGAACGGCAGCGCATGCCAAGGGCACTGAAATGTGCATAGAAAAATAGAACTATTAGAAAGAAACAGTTACGAATCTTCGTGCAAAATCCTGATGAAATGGTCCAGACTGCCGGAGCGTCAAAGAAAAAGCTCGTGAAGTTGGGCCTTTAGAAACAGAAGTCAAAAACATGTGACCCCAGTGGAATGATGGGGCAGAATGACTCTCTTTTCCTCTGTCGGAAACTTTAGAAAAATAATCCTGAAGTCTGGGACAGACTGAAAGTTGCTACAGAAATGCGCGCTGTTGGTGCTGAACCACCCTTAAGATTAGAAAAGTGAGACGTTGCGATAGGAGGATGCGGGGGGCTACACGGAGCCTGACTGGGGGCCCCCCGGCGCCTCTTCCTTTGCCCCCCCCCCCCCAGGAGAGCCGGGCTGGGAACGGGGATGACGGTCAAGGCGGTCGTGCACCCGAGCCTGAATGCGAGCGGCGAGCGGGTGAGTGCGTCCGGCGGGGCGTCCCGAGCGACCGGTCCAGGGATCCGAGCCGGGGCTCCCCGGGGGGAATGCTGGGAATGTGGCCGCAGATCCGACACCCCTCGCCCAGGAATGGTGGGCCGTGAGACGCTGCCTCGGGCAACGCCGAACCCACTGGACCTGGAGCTGTCTGCCCCCAGGCGGAAGCCCCAAAGGCGGTCAGCTGACTCCCCTCACTGCCAGCGGGTGTGCTGGCAGGGGATGATGAGAGTTGTGATCCAGCTCACCTAGGGAAGGCAAATTTGAGGTGGACTGGTCTAATGCACAGAATTATGGGTAGGCGATGCACAATATCCTCTACTCTGGGTTCTTACGGCGTTTCCTTGCCAATTCTGTGGCAACCTTTAATCGATGGATTCAGTGTTATTGGATGAACACCTTTCTCTGGCACGTGCCCCCCTCCCGTGGCTCATCGGGAGGGTATCAAGTCGCAGAACTGATGCCGTGCAAACTGCAGCCAAATTGAGCGACCTTTCAGTTCCACTGCACAGAAAGCGAAATTCAGCCCTGCGAGCCTGACGCTCGGGCCAGGGCTTCCCACCGGGTCGGTGGCACGGCGCTGCGACGCCGAGTCGTGTGGGGGTGTGGGTTCTGATCGGGAAGGTATGTGCCCAGAGGGGGTGGGGGCCCCTGCAAGCCCCTCTCCCTCTTCCTTGCCCCCTGCTGCCTCTGCAGATGGTCCGGGGCATGGAGCTGTTTGCGGGCGTGGTGGAGGAGCAACTCTTCAAGTACGGGAAGAAGATCATCGGTGAGCCTGCCCCCCCAGGCCCCCCAGCGGCCACTTGCCTCCCCTGTCCTGGTGGCTGCCGGCGTGGCCAGCTGGCGGCCCCCAGCCTTTGGCCAGACGTTCGGCCCCCTTCCGGGGATGATGGGAGCCGTGCGCCGGGCCCTCTGGCAGCGCCGTCATCCCCAGCCGGGACCGGGCCGGGGAGGTGGCTTTGCACGTCTCCCAAGGGGCGGCAGGCGGGCTGCCACCGGACCTGGGCCGTGCCTGGCGGGGGCTCTGCAAAGCTCGGGCCAGGCCCCGCCGCCGCAGCCCCGCGACCCACCTGTGCCCTCCTGCCCCCAGATGAGCAGTTCGTGCTGACGCGCATCGCCGACAGCGCCATCGACCTGTACAGCATGGCCGTGGTGCTCTCGAGGTAGGGGTGCAGCCGTGGAGGTGGGGACCCTCCGGGGGGCACCGGCCAGTCCAGTGCCCCCCGCCCCAGATCGCCTGCCCTTCCTGAGCCTCTGCGCCCTCCCCCCGCAGGGCCTCCCGGTCCCTGGAGCGCGGGCAGCCCACGGCCCAGCACGAGAAGATGCTCTGCGACACCTGGTGCATTGAGGTGAGCCCGCGGGGGGTGGGGGGGGGCTCGGTTCTGGGCGAACCTCTTGGAGCTGGAGGGCCCGGGCGAGGCGGGCGCCTGGCGTGGGGAAGCTGGCCGGCTGCTCTCGCGCCTCGTCCTGGGGCCGGCCAGGAGCATCCCCTGGAACTGAGCATGGGGACTCGGGACAGACCACCAGAAGGCCTGGGGGCAAACGGCAGAGGACAGCCTGCGATGCCCCCCTGAGACTTTGACGCTTTCCTTGGGGTGGAAGCGCGAGAGTCGCTGCTGTCGCCCCTCAGGGTGACCCCGTGGATGCGAGCCCCCCACAACCCCAGGCCCTCTTGCCTGTGCGAACCCCGCTGTGGCTTCCTTCCCCCGTGGGGCCGTCCCATCGTGAATTCGGTCTTGCCCTCCCCCTCCTGCTTCACCGCCCCCCAGCATGATGGTCTTCCCTGCCTTCCCACGGTGCGCCCGCCACGGGGCAGCCTCCGAACCGTAATTTCCGCTTCTGGAGGAGCTCTGGCCCGGCCCGGGCCCCATTCACCTTTCCGTGGGTCCAGGGATCCGCCAAGCCCTCCTCCACCCTCTTCCTGCCCCCGTCCTCAAGGCACGTTAGCCTGGGGCAATTCTTCGGATTCCATGAGCCTTCCCAGTGCTGGCTGGGGTGTATGGGTAGTGTGGTGCGGTGCATCCTGGGGCCCCCAGGCGGATGAAGGCCGGCGTGAACCATCCTGTGTGGGGGGAGCGTGAGCCACTTTTCAGGAACCAGGGAAGCAGGCAAGCTGCTCATTCTCGGGCGCCAGAACAAACGTGGAACCGCAAGACGCTGGTGCCTCACCCTAAAATGTCAAGAGACAGAAGGGCTGGGGGACGACGAGGACGTTTAGTGGGAGGCCGATGCACCATCGGCGTAACGGGATATTGCAAGGCATAATAGGGCATGTTAACACTAAATAGACGCTCCTTCCCCGGAAGCAAGGTCCGTCCTGAAACTATTGCAGATCGCTGAGCGGCACAGTCCTTGGCCTGCCGTCTGCCTCTGTGCCATCTGGAAGCGTCTTCCCCCTCGTCATTTACACCGCCTGGCAGGAGAGTTGTGGGGTTCACCCCCTTGTTCTTGTCTCGCTCAGGCCCATGACCGCGTCACCCAGAACCTGACCTCCCTGCGCTCCGACACCACGCGGGAGTTCTTCCGGAACCTCCGGGGCATCTCCAAAGCGGTGGTGGAGAACGAGGGGGTGGTCTCCCCGAACCCCCTGGGCATCTGAGACACCCCCGGGAGCGGGCGCCGGAGCCGGCGTGGCTGCTGGGGCTCTGTCCTTCCCTCCCCCTCCCCACCCTCCTGCAGAAAGAGGACTTGGGCAAAGATTCGGCGGGGAGCTTCTCGCAGCCCACTCCCGGAAGGCCGGCCGTGCTTTGAGAGAAAGTCGTGTTTCCGCTGTTTAAATGCCTTAATGCCCCCCCTAGGTGGGGGTGGAGTAAACAGCCCTGCTACAAGCCATAGTTCCAATATGGAGCTCGCCGCAAGCTTAGCCAGCCAACTACCTCCCGGCCTTGCTGCCGGCCGCGCCGAAGCAGCAGAATCGCCCGGCTTGGAAAAGCGGAGGCGGCTCCCCGCCTGCTTTTGGTGTTGATTTGGCAGCCGCTCGGATGGGAAGCATTAGCCCCAAAACCAGGCACAAGGTCTCTTGTCCCAGCTGGTGTATTTTTCTGTGAATACATATTAAATTACTTTGGCGAACGTCTGGAGCAAGAATGCAGAGCCGTTGATGTGTCGTGGACGTCGTCTGCTGGAAGTCACAGTTGGTTTAAAAATAGTCCCCCCCACGTGCAGGAAATCGGGGCATGCGACGGTGGTGCCCCGGGGAGTGGAGCGTGGCGTTTAACGCCCAGCCTGCAAGACTTTAAAAAACACAAAGAGAGCATGCAGGTTTCTAGTTCTCACTGTGGCGGAGAATAGCACGTGCATCGCTCTGGGCTATTTCTGTGAAACCTTACAAAAAAGTTTACGGAAGGAAGGATGCCTGGCACAGAGTTGGCTGTTGGGGGGCCATATTCCAGTGGGGGCCAAAACCCCCACACCTTCTAAAGGGTGAAAGTCTTTGCATTGTTTTGTTATCCAGCCCGTGTTAAGTTCAGGCCTCAAATATAAAATGCTCATCCTAGGATGTAACTATCGGGCCACATGTGGATGATCTTTGAAGGGAGAAACTTGAGACATGCTTGCATAACCCCAATAAATCTTGCAGGGGGGGCGGGGGGTGCTGAGTGGCCCTGTTGACGCCCGTTTGGGGAGGAGTGAAGCGAATTGCCCTGAGGATCTGTTTGCAGATGTTCTGAGCCTTTCTCAGAATGGGTTTTGCCAACCTTCCGGCTTCCAGATGCTGCCAGTGTTACGGGTTTCATTGGCACCATTCGGGGGGTGGCCCATCCCATAATCCAATTCACCAACGACGTTCAGAGTCACTCTCAGTCCCGAATCGGGCCCACCTGTGGAACGCGCTTGGAACCTAGGAGTTTCCCTTCCCATTTCAAATCTGGCTCCAGGGCGGCCTCGCACCGCGGTATCCGTGTTGGAGTATGCCTTCCCCCATCCCCAGTGGTTGGGGATGCTGGAAGTTGTAGTTCGACACCTCTGGGGCTCATGGAGTTGCAGACGGCTGCTTCGGAAACTGGCCTTGACTGGTGTCACTGAAGGGACTGGGAAGACTACGTCCCCCAGAATGCCTCTGGGGCAAGGCAGCGTGGCCACAATCTGCCCGGCAAATCTTTTAAGCTGGGCAGCTGTCGGGAGGTGGGGGATTAGGCGATTAGGGTTGTCCGTGTACGAACCGCTTGCGCGATGCCCGTGAAAAGGCAAGGTAAGGGGGCTTGGGCATATTCCCCTCCGCAAACAGATCCCACCCCAAAACAGACTCGGGGTACAGGCTGGAGGTGGGGTGGTCCTCTAGAGCCACACTCGAATCCTTGTGAAGCCCCTCTGGACCTGCCGTCATGCGCACGGCTTTGGCCCCGGGGACGATGCGATCCGAGGGTCCGTCGGGATCCGCTCGTGTGGATCCGCCCTGCCTCCACGCCTCTCCGTGCTTCCCCAGGCCGTGGGCAGCAGCGGGAAGGGGCTGGCCTGTCCACCCTGGGTGGACTCTGCGGATCTGTTGATGGAAGGGTCGGTCCTGTGCTGCTCTTGGAAGGAGCCCCGGGTGCTTCCCTACGGAGCTCCCTCCGCCGCCCTGGGTTTGAGCAGCCTGGGTTTGCGCTTGGCCGTGTTTCCAGGCAGGGCTGGGAGAACCTCCCGCCCAGAAACGCGCAGTGCCCAGCCGCTCCGCTCCGCACGGCCGAGGCTGAGCCACATGGGCCGGGGGCCGACTCGGTCGGAAACGGGCTGCTTTGCCCTCCGCGGCGATGCAGCCGGGCCGGAAGGGCGTGCGGGGCCGGCGTCTGCGCTTCTTGGGATGCTGCTTGAGCCCTGCGTGTGAGCAGACGGCTCGGAAGGGGGAACGGAAGGGCAACCGACTGTGGGATGAGAGCGGTGAGGCCTCGGCCGCACTGGGCCAGCGAGCGCCGGGCGGTCTCTGAGCTGCCCCCAAGCACCCACATGCTGTGGTTTACTGGGCGGAATGGGGCACCGACCGGGGGGCAGAGGCCCACTCGCGAGGTGCGCAAGAACAGACCATGCGCACACATGTCGGTATGTGCAAGCTCGGCCACTGGCGGTCTGGAGCCTGGTTTGCGTGCCGCCAAATTCCCGCTCTCTCGGGGCTCGTGGGTTCTCATCGCTCCCCTCTCGCATGACCCGGAAGGTCGGATCTTCCTGGGGGGAGGCTGGCTGGCTGGCCTTGTGGAATGTCTCTCGGGGGCAATCGCTGCGAGAAACGGAGGGGGCTTCCTCGGGCCCGGCCCGGGCCGTGATCTGTGCAGCTCAGAGGCGCCTCCGCAAAGACCGGCAGCGGGTGATGCTGCCACAGCTGAACTGGGGGGCTGTGAGGGCAAATGCCCCCCATCGCCAAGCCAAGAGCCGTGGCTGCCACGGGGGTGCCAGCTCAGCAGTGCCCCGATCTGCGTTTGGAGGGCTGCGGAGTTCAAGGGGGAAGTGGCCAAGCAGTCAGACTGGAACTCCGGAGGTCCCCGTCCCGCTTAGCCGTTGGGCTAGCCTTCCTCACAGGGCTGTTGTGCAGAGAAGTGGAAAGGAGTAAGTCCCTGTGGCTACCTTGCCGTAAATAACAGCCCTGCTGGATCCGACTCGCATGTCCCCGGTCCAGCCGGCCGGATGCAGGAAACCCGCGAGTCCAACTCGGGGGCCAGAACCCCATCCCACCCTGTCCAGAGCAGCTCGTGCCTTGGAAGCACCCGGGCTCCAGTCCTGGAGGCCAGCATGGCGCGCTGGAGGCTGGCTCCCCCTTTTCCAGCACGGATTTGTCCAGTGCCCTTGGAAAGCCGTCCAAAGGGTGCCGCTCCTCCGTTGGCAAAGGCTGGAATTAAACGGGTCCTTTTTGCCTCTCCCGAATTCCCACCCATCCCCTTCGTGCAATGGCCCCTGGGAGAGGGGCAGGAAAATGTCCCCGTCAGCCGCAGTGCTGACCTGTCCCAGCTCTCTTTGCCCACCCTTCTTTTAACCCAAATGCCCCCTTTTCCTCCCATGGGAGCTTCTCCAGCCCCTTCCCCCCACCATTATTTCAGTTCTGCTCTGCAGTTTTCCAACCTCACAGCGCCCCTTTGTAGGTCCAGTAACCGAACTGTACACAGTTTTCCAAGAGCGGCTACGCCACAGAAACGTGCGCGGGCAGGACGATCTTGGCAGTGTCATTTCTGACTCCTCATTCCGGCCAATGTGGAATTTGACTTCCCCTCCGCAGACTCAGCTGTCTGCCGCCACCCTGGAAGGCCGCCTTGGCCCCTGCAAAGCACCCACAGAAAACCCAGCCCCCTGGGTGCCCTGAACATCGGGGAGCAGTGCCCCCCCATCCCTACACACCTGGGCAGAGGAAATGCCTCTGGGTGGCTTGCGCAAGGGAGCCAAGTTCTACACTGCGAGGAACGGCTCTCCCGCAGCGGCCTGTTTCTGTAGGCATTCCTTGTCGCCACCTTTCGCCTCTACGGCGAGCCCCGCAAGCAGCTGCAGAAGACAAACCGACATGCAAAAGACCAGCATCAAAACATGCCCCCACCAAATTGCAGCCGAGCATCAGCCGCCGTAAAACGCAGGCATGCTGCCAGAGGACCCACCCGATCCAATGGCCCAGGCAACATTTAGGGTTCCTTTAAAAAGGATGCGTTCAGAGCATATTTAGCGAACGTGGAGAGGGAAGCCATCCGGGTCCCAAAGGCAAGGTGCCCCCGCGAAGCAGGCCCCGTTCGTCATGCCTGTCGCGTCCCCCTCACAGAAGTGTGGTGCCCAAGACCCCATTTGCTCAGGGGTCGCTGCAGGAAGGGAACTCTGGAAAGGGCCGGCGTGTGCGTCTCTGCTCCGGAGCAAGGCCACGAAACCATGTTCCGGAACAGGTGCTTGACGGTCCAACAGGATGCATTCTGCGCATGTCCAGAGACAGAGATCATGACTACGTGGGTTCCAGGACCGCACACAAAGCCAGATCTGAGAATATTATACCGGGTAGCCTCTGAGTGCTCCTGCTCATCGGCCACGTGCCGCAAACCTCCTCTCTGCTCTGGGGGCCGCGTGGCAGAGCCCCCTGCTTGGGTCCTGGCTCAGTTCCCGGCTTCCGGAAAGAGCCACCCGACTCCCTGCCAGCCAGTGCTGCCAACAGAGGGGCGTGAGCTGGACTCCGCAGGAAGCCGCTCCCGGGTTCCCTGGGCTGGGTTGGGATGGGATGGCAGGCGATGCGTCAGAACAAGGCCACACGGCCGCACGAGAGGCCACCCTTGGCTCCCGTCGCAAAGCCAGCGCCCTCCTAATCGACCAGCGTGGAATAAAATATATTTAGAATTCTGTGGCGTTAAGGAAGGACGGGGCAGCCATCCCCACCCTGATACTTCCAGGGGTCTTGGACTCCGGCTCCCAGCATCCGCCAGCTGGCAGCCACCGGGAGTTGCAGGTCAGTTTCCAGGATGGCATGAGGCGAAGGCCATTTGCCCCAGTCCTCTGTCTCCAGCAGTCGGCGCAAGGGGCAGCGTCTTGGTGCCGCCATGCCCGCGGTCTGGCGCTCCGCTTCCGCCCCTCGCTGAGGTTGCTCTCCGGGAGCAGTGGCCCAGCGTGTGGGTGAACCGACCCGGCCGGGCGGCCCTGCTGTGCGTGGGGTGGGGTGGAGGCGCTGCCACGGGGACCGGCCGGTGTGACTCCGTCGTGCGGTTCTGCAGCCGCCCAGCGGTGAGGGTGGAGGAGGCGTGTGGGGCACGGAGCCGCGGGTGGAGTGCCGCAGCTCAGCCTTTGTCCTCCGTGGCCTGTGCACGGCTTCCGGACTACATTCCCCATCAGGCCCTGCCACGTGGCCAACAAGCAGGAATCTGGCGGAAGGCTGGGAAGCTCTGCTCAAGGGCGGGGTGTTCTGGGGGTCGTGGGCTCCGTCCGGGCGCACGTGTCTGTCCGCTCCCACAGGTGTGTAGGGCAGCCATGGGGCTCCGTGGAGCCAGCGGCCCCCCCCGTGGCCGTCGCACATCCGTGAGGCGCCTTCTCAGGAGCGGGGGCTGCTCCCGGGGATGCTGGGCTGACCCCGTGCGGCGCCTGTTGCCGTCAGACCATCCCCATGGTGTCTGAGCAGCCCCTGGAGAAGCGAGGGGCTCCAGGCAGCCCGTGG